ATCCCTGCACCCACATGGGAGACTGGAAAAAAAGCTCCTGGCTTTGGATAGGTTCATCTCTGGCCATTGAGGCTACTTGGGGAGTGAACCAGTGGACAGAAGATTTTTCTCCCTGTGTCTTCTCTGTAAATCTGCCTTTCCAATAAAATAAACAGTTTAAAAAAAAAAAAAAAAAACCAAGGAGCATAGACCAGCCTGCAAAGTCAACATTATGCAGTAAGAGATTTCTAGTAGCACTTCCTACCAGCCTGAGAGTAATAACAGTCACCTTTGTTCATAAATATTTACTTAGAACTAACCACACAGATATGAAAGGCCCAAAAATTATAGAATTTAATCCTATCATGAGCCCAACAGATAAAGAGAAAAATATCCTAGGAGAAATTTTTGAATGACTATCATGAAGCTCATATTGGTTAAACTCACATCTTCACACACACACACATATTTAAATACAAGCATGTATAGGTACATATATATTATAGCAAATAATAGGGGCAACTCAGATAGGCATGACCTTCGCGTATCATTTCTGATATTAACACGTTGACATCAATACTTTGCATATAGGCTCATACATATTAGAGCAGACGTTCTCAAGAATCTAAGAGTTTTAAATAGTATTCTAGATGAGGGTTATCTGCACGCACAAAGATAACAATCATACTCAAATAACATACCTTTTCAACTTTATAACAGGAAAATAAATTATTTCCTGTAAGGATAATTGGATACTATGCTGCTTAGGAAAAGCAATTTCACATTTCACAAGCGAATGAGTACCCTCCTTTGATAAAGGGATAATCAATGTTTATTCTTCACTTGGGAAGTGCAAAAGAAAGAGAATGCTCTCACAGACTGCCACTGGCACAAGTCTTCCCTGAACAGTTCCCTCAAGCTACATTTTTTAATTGATTGGCTCCCTTCCAGACATCTGCAGATTACATGGTGTAGCAGTCGAAGAAATGCAATGTCATGACCTTGACCTTCTAATAAAGATGCATTTAACTTTTTTTTTCCTCAATCTATTGCTTCACAAAGTCAGGCATGTCTTTTGCTATTATCAGAAATATCTTCAATAAACTCGAAACCTTCAGCAACTGACAAGTTAGTTATAAAATGGAATTACTAATGAAACATCTAGGCATTTTCTTTGCATGAGCATACCAGTATTTGTTTGCATATACTTTCAATTTTTTTGTTTTCAGTCCTTATAATATCTCCTGTTCACTCATTGTTGCTCTCTCATCCTATTTGTAACTATGGTTAAAATACCTAAGTTGCTTTGATAATCCCATAATGATTTTCTCATTATGAATTTATTCCAAACCTATGAGCAGAAATTGACTGTCTTCCTTAAGCAAAAATCTATTTTTTTCTGCCTAAGCCAGGTCACTTCTCTGAGCATCTGAGCATCTGAGGGAGGTGAGTTTCCATGGATAATTACTGCCCTTCTTTTGATTTTACAAATTCAGTCAGCTCACCTGGAACTGCCTTTTTGACATTGGATACTTAGAGAACTTAGATTCTTGTAACTTGCCCAGTCAAAATTTGTATCAATCCCTCAAAACATTAGAGAATAAATCTTTTTACCAGGCAGTTTTCCTAAAAATCAGACAGGGGTAGTTAGTTGGCAAAGCAATTTAGATGCTACTTGAGATGCTATATTGAAGTGCCTGCTTCAAGTCCCAGCTCTGCCTCTGACCCAGCTCCCTGGAAATCAGCCACTGGAAAGACAGCAGATGATACCTCATACATGTGGGTCCCTGCCACCCACATGAGTGACCCAAATTGCAATTTTTGATTTCTGGCCTTGGTGTGGCCCAGTATACTCATGTAAGCATTTAGAGAGCGATCCAGAGTACAGAAAATCTCTTTCTGCTTCTCAGCCTTTCAAACAAAATGAAAATAACTAACTAAACAAATAAATAAAATTGCTTTGTTTAAAAAATAAAGTCAGATTATTTATAAACTAACACACAGAGGAGAAAGTTAACCCATGATTCCAACACTAAAAACTCAAACAGATGTTTCTTCCTTATGAATGTGTTCTCACAGAGTAATGAAATTGAAGCTCCACGGCATCGCATTTGCTCAAGGTCCTAAGTAAACTAACCTTACTATGGCCATGATATCTGTCACTTAAAATATCAACTAAAACTATAAAAACCTGGAGCTCTACACAATTTTGATTTTCCCCCTCTTATTTATGGCATAAAAATGCAATTCCTTCTTGATAATTACAGCACAGAAAAAAATGGCCAAAGATAAATATAGGAGTTTTTTTTCCTCAATTTTGAAAGGCTATTACCTAAAATAAACAAAATTATGAATATACCAATAACTAAAAAAAGGGATGAAATGAATACATCCATATTAAAAGAATATTTTAAAAACTGGTTGTCATAGAAACTGGTATATAAAAATTATTATAGTAGGAGGCGGGCCTGGTGGAGGTTATTGTGGGTCACTCCAACTAGGCTGCAGCTCCAACTGGTTTATGTGAGGGCTGGGTATGTGCTGGGCAGAACCAGGCTGGACTGCAACACCCATTAGTTCCAGTGGAAGGCAAAGCTGAAAACAGAACCAACGCAGCAATTGCAACCACCAGCTGATTGGGGCGATGGACTGTGCCAGGTCCTGTACTTGCTAGCACATACAAGAATCTGGTTTGAGCACACCTCAGACAAAGTTTCTTTGGAGATCTCTCCATCAAAATGCTGGACTCAGAACCCTAACCAAGAAAAGAGAGAAGACAGAACAGGTCAACCAACCAATTCAGCTATATGTTGGCAGCAAAATACGGAGCAAACAAAGACTCTATGATGGACTATGTCAATCAGTGAATTCTTCAAAGACCTCATAGTGCTTAGAGTGGCAAGATTGGCAGCGATTCATAACTGTTGAAATACCAAAACCACTTGAGCAAGAACCTCAGAGCATACCCTACATCCGGGACCTGGGGAGGGTGGGAAATTGGGTGGGACTTCTCCCTTAATACCCCCCCCCTTTAAACAATATGGAAACAATACTAGTCTTACCCACTTTCCTATAGCCCTTGAACCTTTTTACCCTGTTTAACTATGTAAAAAAAAAAAGAAAAGAAAAGAAAGAAGTCTTAAAAAGAAAAAAATGGGGAAAAAAACAGACTTTTTTGAAAGTCCTGCATATGCTTAAAAAAAAAGAAAAAAATTATTATAGATATTTATGTAAACCAAATTTATGCCTTTTTTACTGTGAGCATGTGGCAAATTCCCTCTTCATTTTGTTTCTCCTTTTTTTCTTCACTGAGTTTTGCTTTAAGGAAAGTACAACATTTCCATAACAGTAAGCCTTTGATGGTTACCACTCAAGAGGCTTTTGAGGAAAGCAGCACTGGAAAAGCAGTTACAGCAGCCTTAGTGAAATCAGTGGGACAGAATTCCCACAAGCTCCTCAATGTCCATATGGGAGTATTTTATAAGACAAAGATTCATTTTGCTAAAGAATCAGAGCCTCCCTTTGAGATTCTTGTGAACATGATGTATTCTTCATCCAGAAACTGTGTATTCATGTTCTGTATACGATTTTGCATCTGAAACCCACCTAACTCCTAGAGCTTGACTCACCATCTATAGATTATTATGCAACTGAAGCCTACCTATTGTCCCAGACCTTCACTTGTCATCTATAATTATGTATCACCCCTTATATTATATTCCTTTGTTCCAACAGGAAGCTATCAGAAGCCATGTTAATATTTCATTATCTATGAAAGATACACATTTCCTTTAAATAATCTTCACATGAGTTATCACAAACAATCTGGCATGTAGATATAACCTAGACTTTCAAATTATGTTATTGGTTGACATATCAAATGATTTCCCTTTTTATTTTAATTGTACATAATTTTAACTTATTTTAACTTAAATGAGCCTGACAGAAAGAATAGGTCAGGGGAGGCATTAAGCATACTAGGATGCACATGAAGTGCTTATAGGTACTTGAGGTTATCACTCCAGAAAAATAAAAACGGCTCCATTAGCTAAGCACTGAATTTCTTTGTCAATACTTCATTTTCTTCCTTTTACATTTTTAATCATTTCAATGATTGTACAAACAAGAACTGAGGGACCGAGAACCTGGAATTAGTCAGTGATTTATCAAAAGGCATAAGAAAAGTCTCCTTCTTGCATTTAGAAGCTGGTATCTGCAAGCAGTTGTTTGCTTTGTTTCCTACAATGATAGAGTTCACTGCTAATGCTGCTGAATGAAAGTTAACCCCATTCTCTCACATTGTTCTGCAGTTCCCATATTTAGTTTGTGTTGTCTTATTCACTTTTCCTTGTCTTATTCTTCAATAATTTGGATTCTTGCTTGCCAGGTTAGCAGCTTTCTTATTCCACCTACTTATTTAGTGCTCCTTAATTTCTAATTTTAATTTTAATTTTAATTTCTAATGTTCAATTTTAGCTCATTTCCTAGTCTGCCTTCTTGTGACAGACACACTCACAGTTACTCACTCTTACAGTCATCTACAACCTAGCCCCTAACTCCAGGTCCCCACTTTCCCAGTCACTCGCAGTCACTAAGCCCTACTCACACAATCATTCACTTGCACTTCTGGTCACTCCTGCAGAATCTAAACTGATTTCCATTCAATCCTGCTTACCTATACTCAGTAAAGTGCTGTCAATCTAACAGTTACCCAAATGCAGAGTTACCTGCCCCCATAAATTCACACAGCCTCACACCCAGGCACAAATTACATTCACCCTCAGTGCCATTTCCACTGTCATTCTCAGTCACACTAACTTCCAACACAACCAGCCCCACTCAAATCTAATTACGCTCACTCTCACCCATACCTAGTTGCACTGAGTCCATTCCCACTTAATCAAAGACTCTGCCATTGACACCTGTCTTCACTCTGTTTTACTCATTCTAAAGAATCTCATTGTATTCCAGTTCCTCCTTGTTACTTGCTCTCATACATGAACTAGCTTATTAAGAGTCACTCTCTTCTGCACTCACACTGGCTCAGCTGAAATTTTCAGATTCCCCACAGACACGCACATTGTACTCCACGTACTCACACAGAGAAATATCATTCACATCTATAGCAATGCATGCAGTTCCTCATTTGTGGATACACACATCCAGTGCCACACGTAACACACTGACAGGCCCCATTATAGACAAGTACACTGAGTCCCACTCAAAGATGATTTTGAGTAACATTCCCTTGCAGTGCAAGTAGGAAAGCTCTGTCTATCCTTAGAGAAGGATACAAGTAGGTTTTGAATGATTTAAAAGGCTTCTTTGTAATAAAGTTAAAAAACAACACCCCTCTTGTAATACTGTTGTGGGGAAATGATTGTGAGGAAGGCGACCTTAGTTCTTGTCTCACACTGAAGAATTTCCACATGAACAGGACAGTGAGCAAGATTTATTTTAACTTCATACACTTCCTGCTATAGCTAATATGATGTTGAGCTTCAAGTCAAGTTGCCCAGAAAACTTATTCATGTGGGGTCTTATGCTTAAAAGAGGGTGGGGGAAAAACTTACCAAAGGTCCAGAACTATAATCCTTTGAAGTCTGCTCACGATAAAACAAAAAAAGGAATGGTGGGACAGGAAAGTTTGGTTTTTCTATTTTCATGATATAATTAGAAACAGAGGAGTAGGGTCGGCATTGTTGTCTTCTCCTTTTTTTTAAAGATTTATTTATTTTTATTGCAAAGCCATATATATACAGAGAGGCGGAGAGACAGAGAGGAGGATCTTCCATCCGATGATTCACTCCCCAAGTGATTGCAATGGCTGGTGCTGTGCTAATCCGAAGCCAGGAGCTTATTCCAGGTCTCGCACATGGGTGCAGGGTCCCAAGGCTTTGGGCCATCCTCAACTGCTTTCCCAGGCCACAAGCAGGAAGCTGGATGGGAAGCAGGGCCGCGAGGATTAGAACTGGCACCCATATGGAATCCCAATTGTGCACTGTGAGGACTTTAACCACTACACTATCGCACCAGGCCCTGTTATTGCTTTTTGAGTTTTCTGCTTTTTGGTTCTTGTTTTTCGTATCTGGAGTTTATTTAAAAGCTGAGGACATCACAGGCAACAAAGACAGAGTTGACAAGGAAGGGAAAAGTGAGCGAGAGATGATTTGCTTTCATCTTGTGTCCACAGGGAAAGACAACACCCTTGCCTTGCTTCTTATGAGCCTGGAAAGGGAATTTACTGCATGATATTACTCCCAAAGTCCCAGGTGAGAGAAGGGATGATTTGAGAAAGGTATCATGTGGTTGACAATAAGCAAACTATATTACATAGGGTAGGGGAGGTATGACTTCCAATTTGTGACTCTAAATTTGCTACCTGCCTGTATCATTTCATGTCCCCCTGGGATTTCTGACCCCTATTCTTAAGAGTTGCTGAAAGATGCAGATTCTTCTCATCTTCTGTAGTCACTTCCTGCTGATTTTGAGTATATGCCTTGCATGTCCTGGATTCAGAGATCTCTATTTCATCTAACAAAGCCATCTCACAGGCCATAGAAATTTAGCTTGTGTCAACAGCTGTATCCCCCACATAGTCATTGTCACTCCAAGAAGTCACTGGCCTTTGACTTTTGAAATGGCATCTGTAGATCTCAACTGGTTCATATAAGCAGAACAACTCATACTGAACACTGGGCATGATCCTGTCCCGTGCACAGAAGTAAGTGAGCATAGGAGATGACACAATATGCACTGCAATGCTCCAATGTGAGGACACACTCATCCAGTTTCTGGCCTTCAATATTAGAGAAGTCATGTTGAAAGCCAGGTTTCTTGGAGATGCCAGAGGCCATCAGTGCCCTCAACCCCAGAACTCCAGCCTCAGTTCCCTGGTCTAGAACTGTTACAATCACTTAAAACCCATCAGTTCCCTAACCTGTTGCTTCCAGATCAATGTCAGGTCCATGTTCTGCTGCTCCCAGACTGGCAAAGGGCATACCAATGGTGTGACTTACCTAGACCTCCAGCATCAGGCCCCTTGCCTGCCAAAGGCCATCAGTGTCCCCTTCCCCCAGGTCCCTGGTTTCAGATGTAGCATAGTGGTATTATGCATGTGTAGCCTATCTATGACCATGAGGCCACTAACCTGCCCACTGTCAGATCAGCACAGTAGCCCACCACAGGTGTGACCACATTGGGACCCATGAAACACTTGTTCTACTCTGAAATCCTATCCTTATAGAATCCTCTACATATAAGCTTAGCTGCTCTTTTTTATGAATTTTTAATATTTTGGATTTGCATTGCTAATACTGTGACAGCTAGATGTTAGGGTCAGGTCTCTGGTGGGATGGCAAAAGGGGAAGGCTTTTATTTAAGATTTATTGATTTTTATTGAAAAGGCAGATCAGATTTATGAAGAGAAGGAGAGACAGAGACAAAGATCTTCTATTCGCTGATTCACTCCTCAAATGATGACAGTGGCTAGAGCTGAGCTGATCCCAGACAGGGGCTTCTTCTGGGCCTCCCACGCAGGTGCAGAGTCCCAAGGCTTTGGGCCATCCTCTATTGCTTTCCCAGGCCACAAGCAGGGAGCTGGGTGAGAAGTGGGATCCCAGCACTTGCAAGGTAAGGATTTAACCATTGGGGAAGTTTTAAAAACTTGTTTCTACTCAGAAGCTACCTAAGAAAGACAAAATACCAATACCACTCCTGAATTTCTAGTTTTATCATAAAAATAGCAAGGAAACAGTCATTCCATCCATCTGAGCTTTAGCTTATCATGAGCATAGACAAAAGTTACCAATTATTCCCTTCTGCTGGCTTGTGCTTTGAGTAAGCTATAAAGGATTACAATTCTGACCCTTGGATGAGTTTTATCTCCATCCTCTGGATGACTACAAGCTGCTGTTCTATTCCCCCTTCCTCTAAACTGTTCTTTACAGACTCAACTTTTACCAGATTTTTGGGTCTTCATCTCTTGGAGCCCCACTCCCGATTGGTAAAACAGGAGATTTCTGACTTCAATATATCTTACTTTGCTCACTGATTTGTCCACATGGAAATTCTTCTTTCATGTGAGACAAAACCTCAGGTTGCTTCCTTCCTTTGTGCTATTCTCTCAAACAGTACCACAAAAGTTTCAGAAAATGTCTTCCCTCTTTGTTTTAGTCTTGTCTTCACGTACATTACACCCCAGTTTCTAACACCTACGCCTGAGACGGTTTCCACAATTAACTGTGATTCACAGATCCACAATTCAAGTGGAAATGAAATTCCTTTTCCCCAATTCCTCATCTTCCTCTCTTGTTCTTATTCTTGACTTTTAGTAAGTGGCTGCTAGGACTCAGTTTGTTCACTCTATTTCAGTTAGCTACTATGGTCTGACGGTAGATCCTGCAACTAATAATCTTCAAGGACCCTCTTTCATCTACGCTTGGACTCTACTTGGGTTTTGCATAAACTTTCAGCATTCAGGTTCAGCCCTTAAAGACAGGCCCACAGCAGCTGTTCTCTTCCCTCCAAGCAGACTTCCTTAATGCCCACCATATGGCTACCTGGCTGCGCAGCCAGACATCCCCTTGTGGCCAGAGCCGTCTACATTCATGTTGTGCCCATCTGCTGAGATGCCCAAAAGGGATATATGCTGTTGCAGCAGCATCACTAATTTGGAATGCTCATTCTGAGAGTGAATCCTGTTTGCTAACAGGATGTTTTTTGAATCTCTTAAAGCCTCCATTCCCTAACATAGCCATAATTGTGATGAAAACAATAGCACTTCCCTCTAAGCCCTGTAAAAAAAAATGAATATGGTTTATATGTTCCAGTGGGGCTGCTTTGTCATCTTTATTTATAATTATTGTTGTCCCTAATAAAGGCCCAAAGCTTACTTTCATCACCAGGCACATTGGATTCTGTGACCTCTCTATCCCTTTTGTCCTTAAATCTTTTTCCATACTATTGAGAGTTCACCTTTATACGCTCTGGTCCTCTCACATCAAAGATATGAGCTGTATGCCGGAACTCTGAATCAGTCTAGCAACTGAGCGAGCGATGTAACAAAGGAGTATTGAACAGGAAAGGGTGGGTGTGCAGAGAAAGAGGTAGATGCCAGGGGTATTCTGGGAATGCTAAAAAGGTACAACAATAGAGCAGGATAAAGCTAAATGGAGGATTGAGAGTGGAGAAAATAGCAATGAGTGGGAAGGAAGAATAAAGCAATTCTTATCTGCCATTATCCTGGCAGTTCTGGACTTGGCCTACATTAGCAAGATCTTTGTTCTCATTTTGTTTTGGCTGTGCAGATTTCTCTTGCTGGGATTCTGGGAAACTTCACATCACCCCATGTCTCCCTCTCCCGTGGATTTAACTGATGTAGAGAAAAAGAACTAACTACTCAGCAAAATGAGGTCCCCTCTGTATAACACAGCTACTTTTCTTCATAGAGATGTATTTTGAAAAAATAATGTATGTTGCTTCCAATTACTGCGGGCTTTTAATGGAAGGCAGGGGAGCAAACAATAGGAGACAGGTTGCTTGAGTTCTAATGTGATTTGTTGTCATCAGAGGCTCACAGGAAGTTAATAAGGACTTAGCAGACAGATAGCTCAGGGTCAGGAGTTTGGAAGCCACACTTCCCATACCTACATAATCTTTTCTATTCATCTGTATATCAATGACACTTTTCTATCATTACCAGAGACCTGGAGGGGGGGCGGGCAGGGAGGAGGGAGTGATGTCACACAACTGCTTCCCTTTCAAGCCCATTTAAAGCCCATGTTGAGGAGGGCTCTCTCTCTCTCTCTCTCTCTCTCTCTCTCAGTGTGTGTGTGTGTGTGTGTGTGTGTGTCTTTCTCTCAATGGAAGGTAGAAACCTCTCCTTACCCTTTGCCCTCCTGATCCACTATCTTGAACATCGCCTACATGTGTCTGTATTCTTAACCTTCTGAATAAACCTCACTATTTTTTAAGTTGTGTCAGTGCCTGTGCTTAAAATGCTTTTAAATAAGAGGTGAGAACC